CGCCATTGTCTGTTCTTTGAGCCGCGAGACCGTAACATCCACCTAGGTGTCTTTCATTCTCACTTAGTCTACCTACTTGTGCATTAAAGTCACCAGCCATTATAACTATATCAGAGCGCTTAACTTTTTGGAGGAGGACCGAAAGCTTTCTGTAAAACTCATCTTTTACATCATCTGGGCTGCAGTCAGTGGGGGCGTAGGCTGATATGACGAAGAGGCAACGGCGAGTGTCCCTATCTTTCCGAGTCCTTACTGTCCCGTTGAGTCGGACGGCGCACAAGCGACTATCTACAGGGATCCAATCTAGGAGAGATTGTTCTGCCCTACGACTCAATGCTATACCTACACCGGCGAGGCCCCTAGAAGCAGCATCAGGGCTACCGGATACACGAAGGGTAAATCGAGCTGCTTCTTTATCTTGACATGGTGAGGTCAAATCAGTGATGCTACTCGGATCCTGTATGCGCGTTTCAGAGACGCAGCACACATCGATGGAACGAGATTCTAAAGTCCTAGCTAATGACGCCTGTTGCCCTATTTGACACAATGTCCGTACATTGAATGCTCCAACATGTAGTTTGGAACGGGGTTTAAGGAGACTAGGAACGACGTTTCGCAAACTCGCATCGTTTGCATTAGCTGTGAACTGTAATAAATGAATGTGAGAAGAGTTAGTTGTGGAGATAAGAGAGGTATTAGGGAATGTAGGAAGGATTTGATTTTGAACAATTTTGTCTCGTGTGCTGTTGCAGGTATGAGGGCGGTTATCACTTCCCGGCTGCCCACACCGTGGAAGGTTGTTTCTTGACGAACCTGAAAAGGAAGATGGATTAGTGTTGGTGCGTGACCGCAGAGTCCAAGGGACAACTGCTTCAGGCCGGTCACGCACGGCCTTTTTATGAGAGGTATTTAGAGGATTAGCTCCGTTCTTAAAGGCCCTTAGTGGGCACCCTTACCCAAGGAGACGGAAATCCGTGAGGTAGGGGAGGTGTGACATTTTTAGGGCCGACCTTTTCTAACCCTTCCTTCCTTGTGAGAAGGCAGCATCGCTGCAGATGCTGGTTGTCCGAGGGAAACACCTTACTGCTGTCACACCCCTCTGCAGTCAGTCGGCAGTACGACTTCGCCCTCAGACCTTGGGTAGCTGCTTTTAGTCTCATCGTTCTCCAATCGACCTGCCTGGCATGGTAGGACCTGCAGGAACATGTGTTCCAGCCAGTATAGCTCGGTTGGGTCATCACGATAGGCAAGCCCGACCACCACGTCAAGGTAGCAGCTTCGGTCGGGAGGAAAATCATTTGTTGACTTAGAATATGCCGATGATATAGTCCTACTTGGTGAAGACACTGATAAAATGCAGTGCCTTCTGACTACTCTAATCAACAATCCAAGCATGTTCGGGATGCGGTTTTCCCCCTCGAAACGCAAAATGTTGCTTCAAGATTGGCTTGCGTCGGCACCTGCAGTAGTGATAGGGAGTGAAGTAGTTGAGCATGTTGACCGCTTCACTTATCTGGCGAGTCTAATCAGTGCTGATGGCCTGGTGACTGACGAAATCTCAGCATGGATACAGAAGGCTCTATCGTCTTTAGCCAACTTGCATCACTAGTGGCAAGGGCGAGATATCCATTTGCTGAATAAAGGACAATCTACTACGCAGTAGTTCTCTGCGTCTTACATTATGACTGTGAAACATGGCCAGTGAGAGTAAAAGATATCCGTAGGTTACTTGTTTTCGATCGTAGGTGTCTTCGAAGCATTGCTCGTGTATCCTGGGACAACCGAGTGAGCAATGCTGTTGTTAAGAAACTGGTCCTAGGTAAGGATGGCAGTTCAGTAGATGAAATAATGAAACTGCATCAGTTGGGGTGGTTGGGACATGTGTTACGAATGCCCAACTACTGAATGCCTCGATGAGCTGTGTTTTGTGGTGTAGGAATGGGTTGGACGAAAGCTAAGGGTGGCCAGACCAAAACATGGCAGAAATCCATGAAATCACTGACAAGTGGACTGATTCGTGTCGGTAGGTGTCGACTACCTGTTTGGAGTCCGCGATATGAAAATAATCGATGGTTAGAGACCCTGAGTCTCATGGCTCAAAACCGTTTGCAATGGCGCAGGTGCATTTACTCTTTGTGTTCTATGAAATTCTAACCTGGCTTCCTCATCACCTCTTTCTCTTTCTAAATTTACCTCACAGCTCGAAGATTAATTATCTTTCCTAATTCTCTCCAGTTTTTAAGCATCGCATTGGAATAATGAATACATCGTCAGGGAGCTAATCTGGACCTTTTATAGATAAACAGGAGACCTTAATCTTCTCATCAAATTGACTTTTGTATTTTTTATTCAGGTAATTTACACACCTGCAACGTTTAAGTAAACAGTGATAGATAGACTGACAGAGATTAAACATGACGAATACATTATTCTCTGTTAGTAGTCAAAGGCATTAGCACAACTTTCCTAGTATGAAAACTTGATATTTTCCTTATCTTCTACCTATCCGACGTCATTTACATTCTCCTAGAAATTTCTGAGGACATAACGACAGTTTTCATTTGACACTTGCAATAAAGCCCAAACAGTGTCCAATCAAGCGTGCGGCTCGTTCCCCTCTTCAATCTTCATCTCCATATCGTGTACGTCTGGTACATTACACCCAATTAGTTATTCAGCCTCGTCTTCATCTAGAAGGTTTATGTCTGTTAAGTGTGACCCGGATACTATCTTATACGTTATTGGCACAACACCTAATACTACAGGTAATTTTTGAACCGTCAACACTCTGAGTCTTAACAGCAGACGAAAAATCTACCGAACGAAACGTTTTCAAAGTTTGATCACTTAGTACATTTGAGAATGAAAGCTTTCTTCGAAATCTCGTTGACTTTATAATACTCTCTCACACACTCATTTTATATAATGTGGCTTCAATTTCAAAAACCAGGTAATGCTGTTGACTTATTATCGGTGTTTATGAATGGTAGCTTGGTAGTACTGTGATTTATTGACCCATTGAGTTTAGAGCTTTGATACTTGACTTTTCCTTCAATCTATAAATTGATGCTTAGTCAACAAACCTCATTTTTAACCTTCTTTAAGTAGCTCATTTTCTGATGACTAGTTAATAATCTTATTTTCCAGATTCTTTACTCAGCTGGTGGTTATCTGCGTTATTCCCTAAGTGCATTCGAATGTTACAATCCAGTGACAGCTAAGTGGAAACGTCTCCCAGATATACCTAGTCCACGTAGTGGTCTGTCTGCTTGTTCTGTACGTGGTTGTGTTTATCTTGTAGGAGGCAGGAATAATAATGAACAAGGAAATATAGATGCACCTCATATGGATTGTTATGATCCAAGAAAAAACTGTTGGACTACCTGTGCTCCCATGTCAGTGCCTCGTAATAGAGTTGCTGTCGGTGTAGTCGATGATATGATTTATGCCGTTGGTGGTTCAACTAATACAATGCATCACAAAAGCTCTGAAAAGTAAGTATTTCGTTCGATTTGTTTTTTATATCGATACTATTACGTTATCTATTTTAATGCAAACCTTAGTATTATTCCAATGACCATAATCATGTTAAGTGATATAGAACGCGAATACTCTTGATTCAGTTAGTATTGTAATTGTTGATATAATAACTATTGTAGACCTATTGGTCTTTTCTAGAACATTATTCAAAATCAACCTACTCTGTCCTGGGATACCCTTTCCACTTCTGTCCAATTTTTGTTCATTCTTCTCATATCTTTCCATATTTCTCGGCGTAATGTGTTCTTCAGCCTTCCTCTTTTCGTTTGACCTTGAGGGTTCCATGTGAGGGCTTGTCTTGTGATGCAGTTGGGTGCTTTCCTCAATGTGTGTCCTATCCACTTCCACCGCTTCTTCCTGATTTCCTCCTCCACTGGAATCTGGTTTCTTCTATCCCACAGTAGGTTGTTGCTGATGGTGTCTGGCCAACGGATCCGAAGTACTTTAAGTAGACAACTGTTAATAAACACTTGTATCTTCTGGATGATGGCTTTGGTAGTTCTCCAAGTTTCCGCTTCATACAGTGGAATTGTCTTGACGTTTGCATTAAAATCCTGATTTCGGTGTTGACTGATATTTGTTTGGAGGTTCAGATGTTTTCCAATTGTAGAAATGCAGCCCTTGCTTTTCAGATCTGCGCCCTCACATCTGCATCGGATCCACCTTGATTGTCAATCATGCTACCCAGTTATGTAAAGCTTTTTACGTCCTCCAAGGCATATCCGTCCACTGTGATTTGATTAGCTCATGTAGTGTTGTATCGGCGACACTTGCTTTTCCCTTAATGTGTGTTGAAACCTGCCGCTACACTGGCCGTCTTCTCTTGCATTTGTTGTCCCGTGTGCGATAGGAGAGACAGGTCATCTGGAAAGTCCAGATCGTCCAGCTGCATCCTGTCTGTCCACTGTATCCCGTGCTTTCGTCCAGATGTTGACGTCTTCATGATTCAGTCTATCATCAGGAGAAAGAGAACAGATAAGTGTAAACGACCCTTCTTAACACTGGTCTTTACCTCGAACGAACGAGTCTGTCAGCTGTCCTCCGTACACAAGTTTGCAGTTTGGTTAATTGTAAGAATTCTGTGTGATGTTAACTATCTTCTCAGGCACGCCGTAGTATTCGAAGAAGTCTCCATAGTGTTGTCCTGTCCACTCCATCAAGTGCTTTCTCATAATCAGTGAGGATGATGTATAGTGGTGAGTTCTACTCAATTGGTTGTTCCACAATAATCCGTAGTGTTGCAATTCGGTCGGTGCACGATCGATGCTTGCAAAATCCAGACTGTTGATCTCGAAGTTGGGCGTCTACTGAGTCCTTTATTGTGTGTAACAATACCCTGTTGAACTCTTTGCCTGGTTTTGAGAGAACAGTGATGCCAGGTATCCTTCTTTCCGTTCTGCTTTACCGTTCTTCATTTTTCTGATGACCATACTGATCTCTTCAATTGTTGGTGGATCAACACCGTTTGGGAGATCGGTGGATGCTGGTTCGATGTTGGTTGAGTTCAGTGGGACTAGTCGGTCTCTATCACTTATTGTCCCAGTCTTTAAAAAAAGACAGAAGTCCTTTTGTAAGACTCACAGAGGAATCACTTTAACTACTATAGTGTCTAAAATACTGTACTCAATAATGCTCCGACGCCTAGCTCGAGCTCATGAAGAGCAGACTAGAGAAAATCAGGCTGGATTCAGACCTGGACGTGTATGTATAGACCACAGATTACACTACGTCACGTCCTAGGACAAAGACACACGTTTAGAAGTCCCACAATAGTAATATTTCTCGACCTTGAGGCGGCATTTGACTCTGTTGATCATGAGGTTCTTTGGTAGTGTCTGTCACTGGAAGCAGCATCGAAGAACCACCGACTGCCTCGACGATCTGTGTTTTGTGTAGGATTAAGATGGAAGAAAGCTAGGGGCGGCCAGACAACTGGACTGAGTCATGTTGGTAGATGTAGACTACGTGGTCGGGGTCCGCGGTGCCAGTCGTAACCGATAGTTAGAGACCTTGAAAGACAGCTCAAAACCGTTTGCAATGGCTCAGGTGCTCTCTGAAATTCTAATATTTAAAATTCCTAATCACATCTATCTTTCTCTTTCTAATGTTATCTCACTGAATTACAGTTCTTGATTAATATCTTTAAACTCTAATCTTCTCCGTTACCAATAATACTTTTACTATCTCTACCACTGTGGGGTTTGAACTGGTAGTTGCGTCTGTGTGCTGATGCGGTATGGTAACCTGAACCAATATCCGTGCGTACGGGGTTCTATGTTGTAACTGACTGTAAGGCTAATAATAGAGAGAGAGAGATTTAAGTTATGGAGTTCAATTGATCCAGCATAATAAAATGATTTTTCAACCTTCTGATTTCTCTATACTTTTGGTATTTTCAGTTCTTTTTACTGTATTCTCCTGAAAAGTTGGAATGTCTTCTTCTCCTTCTCTCTTTCTGCGAATACAATTTGTTATTTATGAACAAACATGTTATAGAATATGGAAAAGTGTGTTTTAGAGCATGTTTACTTTTACGATAGTGCTGCATTTGATTAACGAATTAATTGTCCCTTTACAGTCATGAGTCTTTATTTTCTAAAATATAAGTGGTTGTAATACTCAATTAATTGGTTAATATATGACATAACATCAAAATCCGTTCGAAACATTGAAACCTAAAGTTTTGAGCTAACTGCGTCTGTCATATATCATTCAAACTACCTAATTCGCTTGGCAAACCAGTTAAGGACTTCATAGATTGTCGGTTTAATCACTTTTGATAATTCTTTCTCTCAACCTATTCCTACATTAAAGAAAGAATATAGCACGTGAGTCATATTAGCTGTTGGTGTGTGAATCTCATTTCAACTAATAGTCCAAAATCTTATTGCCTTATAGTTGCGCTGTCAAGAATCTCAGAGTTGTTTCTAGTTAATGACTTGTAACTTAATGTTTATTTACCACTTCATATGATCACATTTTATATCCATTAAGAAATCACATAGTTGATTGTTTTGTGGAATATTCTACCTGTACCTGGTGTTCGCCACTTTGTACATTTCTTCTAGAATTTTCACCTGGATTTAATCGATTACACAATTAGTGTGTGCCCAATACTGAGGAATCCTATGTTAGAAAGAAATGGCCATGCAGTGCTTTTAGGTTCTCAGTACTGATCTATCTAATAACATTAGTTTGGGATTGAAGGACTTACTTACGCCTGTTACCCCCGATGGAGCATAGGCCGCCCACCAGTTTTCTCCAACCAACTCTGTCCTGGGCCTCCCCTTCTAGTTCTTTCCAGTTTTTGTTCATTCTTCTCATGTCTCTCCATTTCTCGGCGTAATGTGTTCCTTGGCCTTCCTCTTTTCCTTTGACCTTGAGGGTTCCATGTGAGGGCTTGTCTTGTGACGCAGTTGGGTGCTTTCCTCAATGTGTGTCCTATCCACTTACAGAGCTTCTTTCACTGGAATCTGGTTTGTTCTCTCCCAAATTTAAGTTGTTGCGATTTAAGTACTACAGATTAGGAAATTTTTTAGTCCCCTCAGAAAGTAGTGTAATCAAAGTTTAAAAGTTAAATATCGATTAGCAAAGTAAAAATAACAGTAAATACTGGCCATGATCTGCTGTCAGTCATTTGCTTGCCGAATTCGAAATGTGTGTGTGTGTGTTGTGTCTATGGACAAGTTGAACTTGAATGCGTAAAAGTTACAAATTGCTGATATGTTTGTTATGTCATGTTCTACAAAAACTTCAGTGTTGTTATTAATAGTAATGAGAAAATGTATGACTAGCTTGTTGTTGTTTATTACACAGCATCTACTAAACCTTACAATGTATTATATAATGTCTCACAGAGATTAAGTGACAAAATTTTCCCGTATTGCATTAATGATATAAAAGTTATGCGAAAGCAGTCATATTATTTGTATTTATTAAACCATTTAATGATTATAACTTACACACTAAGACATCATTCAATGTATTACAGTAATTATCAGTAGATTGTTGAATCTCGTTTATAAATTTTCATTATTTGTAGTTATATTTTAATGATGGTACACGATAAAATAGTCATCTGTATGTATCAAACAATCAGTCAACGTACATAGTCTAACTTGTCACAGATTATATTAGTCCAAGTTATCATACCATATATTTGCACAGCAATGTTAAATTCCAAAAGCACACACAAAAAAGTCATATATATATATATATACAGAAACGTCGTTACGGGATATAGTTGCAATTTTACTGATTGTCTTAACAAATTTTTATTCTTAGTAATAATATCGGTGATCATTGTCATAGTTCTTCTCTTCCCTCTAATTTTCCAGACATACTATGCATACTTTCTAACCAGTGAATGCCAATAAATACATTCATCTGTCTGTTGTCTGATTCTCGTGGTTTCGTTTAGTTGACTTTGTCTGGTTTATACGTGTGTAAATCAGATGACCTTGAACAGGTATTTTCGCATGTTTAGTCCGATACGAATATGCAAACAGACACATCAACCGAAATAATTTTATCAATTCATAAAATTGCTTGATTGTAACTACTACTATATAAAAATATATGAATAATATTATATCATCATTTATGATTCGTTTTAAAATCTAATTAAAATGAATTCAATGAAAAAGAAAATACTCAGTCTGTGTAGTTTCAACTTCCTTTTTATTGATGCAATATCTGGACTATATATATTCTCTTTAATCTACTAATCTAAATTAATTTAGACGTATTTAAGTACAATTATTTTTGTTGAATTTTTAGAGGAATTTTACAGTGCAATTTAACTCTCCCATGTACAAAATATACAAGTTATTTAAGCGTCTCTGTATAGTTAATCGAAAAAAATGACATGAATTAAACTTACTGTCGTGACAGTGATCATTAAGAATCATTACAATCTAAATTTTGTCCAGTAGTCGACTGATTCACAAATCCTTACACCCATCTATTTCTGTCTTCTGATAACCGGGCTTTCATTCATTGAACTTTACAAAAACCAATATAGCTGAATGTTGACTACCTGAATTCGCACTCTTGCTGTGTGTAAAGAGGAAATATTTCTTGAACACATTTTACAAAATATGATCAACCCAAAAAATTCTACTAGTAAGCATCCTTGGAGTCTTCAACTGTTTTAACCGAAATCAGAAAACAACAAATCTGGTTTCTTAATTTATAGTAGCAAATAATAGAAGAATTTACCAAGAATACATAATCGATGGATTTCCAGACTACAGTTTAGATTGTTGACTCTTAAAATTTTAGGTTTAGAATCAAGGCTCAGGTTTAAAATTTCGGTTCGTTTATGTAGACCATATACAGCTCATACTTTTAGTCATTAAACCCGACTGTGAACCTTAACGATATATCCATGTAATATAATTAAAACATACAAATCAAACAGTGTACCTCATTGCTAATGGCATAAAGCCATATCTAGTGTAAGTGAGTTTCAGACAATAAAAATATTACGTTGTATACACAGTTACTCTACTTCAGTTTTATTTTTTCTCGAAAACACAACTCATCTACCATAGTTTATTTTACTATTTAATATTACCATAAACTTCTACATTCATAATAATAATTAACAATAGATAGATTTAGTTTAGTCTACAGTTTAGTAGTATATGTGATCAGTGAATTTATTAGCATGATTTTTCACATTATTGTTGTATGATAATGGCCAACTTCATTTTCATGTGTATGCTGTATATATTGTAGATATGATCCCGACATGGATCAATGGACACCAATAGCTTCTATGCATAGTCGACGCATTGGATTAGGTGTTGCTGTACTCAATCGGTAATTGATGATTAAAAATTTCTTTTTACATTCCACATAATTTTACTTGTTTCTTTTAATTGTAATATTTCGTTTACATGGAATTTCATAGAAATACTTTTCTCACACAAAACATATGCTGACATAATTGTCGTTCATCAGATAATACCATAGGTGTTTGGATCATTCAGAGTTTATTGTGATTTATGATTTGGTATGTAAGGTATAAGCACAGCAGTCCAGGTTAAATATGACATTTCCGATTAATATATTTTTGATTATTCTGTTAAAAGTGAATCAGTAGTTGATAACACACTGCTTATTGACATTGACAACTGAATGTCAAGAAGACTCAGTCGAAATAGTCATTAATTCTTAGATTGATTGTGCCTCATCACTCGTTGTTGATCATTTCAAACATAACACTCAACAATTGAAACATCGTTGTGTTTTTTGTGCAGTTGACAATTGAATTCGACTATGGTAAATCATATACTGATCAAGAAATATTGGATTTTTGAATCCCTTTTTTAGGATAATTGATTTGAAAATGAGAGATACTTCACTTATACCACGTATCATGGACAATTTGCAATTTATTAAGCTTTAGTCTAATCGACAGCGATGGAAAAATGCACCTACTCTTTTCACTGTATAACATAACGTAGTGTGGATGACTCAAAATCTTATCTCCACTGGTAATCGATCAGTTTAGAATCCAATGGCTTTTGTGAAGGTGTTTTAATATTGATTGTTTATATGAGAATAGGAATAAATAACTTATTCTCATTTTATGATTACATTTTGCCTTAGTTACGTCAGGAAATAAATGTCCATGTAGTTTGAGAAAATAAATTTTATTTCGAATTAATATCAGTGTAGTTTGTATATTAGAGTTATTATCAAATATGAAATCATTTTATTATTCTGTCTCAAACATGAATTTGTATTTCATATGAAATTTTATCACGATTATTATTATTATTAATGTTTTCTCATTTTATTCAAATAAATGTATAGTAGACTAGTATTGATACAAAGCATCTGTATTGTATTTGTACTTTTCTGTAATTCGCACTCAATAATTGCAACTAAAATTTCGTTAGAACAATGAAAAGACTTAGTTGATCTGAAAAAATGTGATTTATTTGCGTTATTCATTTCGAATAGTTTGATCACACTTACTATACATGTCAAGACATTTCATATGAAAATTAAATAAAAGTTCAAATAAAATATAAGGTGATAAATATAAATATAGAAGAGAGAAAACTAACATAGGAAATTGTCACATTACCTCTAGGCTATAAAATAGCGTAAAGATTACCAGGATAGAATGCTGGTTATGAGAAATTATTTCAGTATGCATTAATTAGGAGAGGGGCTTGAATTGGCGATTTAAGAACTTGTTTTTGATGATGCCTATATGATATTTTAAATGCTGCATTAATTTCGATTCTATACTCCGTTTGAAATTAATTCCGTCTTCTGATTCTTCCATCAAAATTTATAAAAGGTGTTAATTTCTTTCACTCAGTAGTAGGTCAGCTGCAACATAGAACCCTAATACGTACGTACATGATTTTAGGTTAACAACATACCATATTAGAGCAAAGAAGTAGAATTGTCAATTAAAAATCTATCGTTGTGGCAGTATTAGCAGCAATGAAAAAGATTAGAGAACGAAGATTTGGTCCGGGAAGTATGAGCCCAATAGCAAGAGCTAGAAATATCTTTCCTAGCCTACTTTTGTATAAGGTCTTTAAGAGAATTTCAATTTAACAGAATTAGTACAATGATAAGAAACATTTGTCTAATTGTTTATCTTTTAAGCAATATTTATTTATTTACCTTAAAAAATATTCTAATTTTTTTTTAGTTTATTATACGCTGTCGGTGGTTTTGATGGTGAGAAACGTTTGAATACAGTAGAACGTTATAATCCAGAAACTGATAATTGGGAAGAATTAGCTTGTTTAAATCGGGCTAGATCTGGTGCAGGTAAATTATAAGAATTGCTTGTTTACTACTTATTAGTTAGTACCTCACAAGTTTAGTGTATTTCTTGCTCTTTTTTTCCTTATTCTTAAGTATGATTAAAAGTCATTGTTCAGTGAATAAATTTTTAGATAATGAAATAATTGATAAAAATCTGTTTTGTTTGTTTTTTTTCTTCAAAAAATCGCCTATCGTTTTCAAACTATACCATCTGTTGATTAGAGAGAGAGAGAGTAAGGATTATTCGAACAACTGTTTTTTTCTAGTTTTGAACAAAATATCAACTTTTCAATTAAAATAAATTTTTGCAATTTTAACTCATCAATAATTTATAAAGATTTCGCAGTGTAATGCATCATCCTATTTCATGTAAAAATTGAATCACAATTTTTTCATTGTGTAATTGATAGAACTTGCAGAGAATTTATTGAAATAAAAATCTATTCTTCATTCATCTATCTGTGGTTTGTATGCTGTTTGGGAATTTTCCAGTGAATATATAAACCATTGAGTTAATAATTTCAGAGAATTTAACATTTGCTACTTTTTTTTTCTAATCAATTCATGAGATTAATTTTCAAAGCGTAAATTATTCTTCTGTCAAATTGATATAAATGTTTGATCAGAGTTGAATATTTTATTGTACTATTTTTTTTTCGCACATACACAAATAAATTTAGTCAAAGTACTACTATTGTAGTGAACGAGAACACAGGTGGGGCAACCGGATTGTATTTAACGAAAATTACAGAGTTACTCCGTAAAATCGGAAAACCATATCGTAAATCGTTAATTTGCAATATCGAACTGGACTGTTGTTGTTGCAAAACATCAATCCATTGTCACTATTCATGCGTTTCATACAAATTCCATTGTGTTCTAACTCTTCCTTTCTTGATCTTCTCCCATCTTCTGCTGCCAGACATTACGGTGACACACGTCATATACTACTTATAAGTAGTTCGCACCACTCTTTCCTTACTTTTACAATTCTCTTCTTTTATTTTAATAATACACTTGAATTATGGACAGACTAAATCTTTATAAGCAGAGATGAATAGTGGAGAGCAGTGGAATCCAGGATGTATATTTCATTCTGTTTAGGAATTGTCAGCTGGATTTATCTGCATCTCAGAGTTGTTCCGCTTATCACTGCATTGTTTTCTAGTACGATATTATTTATAAATAATAATTTTCATAACCTAAAAAGAACAAGACACTTTTTACCTGAAGCATATACAGTGGTTCTATTAAAAAGTATCTAACTTTTCGTGTATAGTCTCTATTGAATAATTTACCTCTGTTAGTTAAATACTAGTCGAAAATTCAATTTTTTTCTCACTAAAACATACTTTATTCGCACCAGCATGTTTCAGTCTCGTTTCTGTTATCTGTAACAAAGTATGCTTCTTAAATGCTTTGTCTCATCCTATATTTCTTCATTCCTTTGTGTCCAATTCTCTTCTCTCTAGTGTGTATGTCAATGCGTTTATGTACTTAATAATTACCACAAAGTGAATCATCTCTCTATTAGACTTCGACATTTCCTACCCAGTCGGATCTTTTCATGCTACCTACCATTAAGGCTAATTTTAATTTTCACATGGTCAAGAATCGATCGATCAATTGTTTTATTTATTAAATCGTCTTGGTACAGGTCGGTACACTGAACTGTTTTTTTTAATATGGTTTACAATTCAACTAACATAAAAACTCTTCAAACATCTAAACTAGTTCAACTCAAAGAAAGGAGAAAATTAAACTGCTTAGGGGGTAGGTGTTTACTTTGTTAGGCTGTGACCGCCATATGAGAACAAGTAGACGTTGATTATGGTTAATTGATTAACTTACTTATCGCAAATTCACCCATGCTTCATTTGACCTTGACATGTAGCCATCAGATATCATCATCTGATATGTTTGGTTTTTTATGTATACCAGTTTGTTGCATAAAGATACTTTTTCAGTCTGAAAACAACTTTGGTGATTAACTGCCAGATGAATATTTTCCATTGAGGAGGCAGTGTAAACACTTTGAAGCTCATCAACAATAGACACATCCAGAATGTTCTCCTCCTTGTGTACACAATATTAAAAAGCTTTTTATCAATAAAAATTTAAAATATGCCAGTTTTCTTACTAAGTGCAGTGATTAGCGATATTTATGTTCTGCAATCTCTTAACTGAATACATTTCAGTGTTGTTTATTTTTAAAAAAAAATAAATAACATTGAAGATAAACAACCAAATTCAGTTCACTGTCAATCAAAACGTTAGCATTTATTTTTCTTCTCGATAGAAAAGTTGAAATATCTTCGTGTTGATCATTACGCTTGGTTCCATTAGTGGAAAAATGAAATTTGTCAAACAACCACTGAATTTCTAACGTTTGTATATATATATATATATATATATATGTATATATATTCTGGGAAGTAGAACGTTTTTTATCATCTTACACAATAAACTATTTCTTCTTAGACAGCATACTCACTTTGTTTAATATACTTGTTCAAATGAATGCTTATCAATTTTGATGAGTTTCAGGCAGTCATAAGATGAAGTAGGTAGCCTATATGACTCAGATGAAAGCATTGGTGCATACATACTTTTCACATCATCATGACTTAATTTTTTGCTTCTCATTTATCTTCTCTGCCATTCTTCTTTCTACTGATAATCCGATTCGTTGTTTGCTTTTTTTTGATAAACAGTTCGTCTATGCAGTTTGAATTCTCTGTTTATATGTCTTTCATACTTATGTGCGTTATATACGTGTGTGTAGATAGTAGTATATCGAGAAATTTCCATTTTTTTTTTATTTTGGTACACGTAGGCTGATTGTCTGTATTTTGCTTGTTTGTCCTTTTCTTTCACTAAATTATTTTGATATTCATATTGATTTTGACTTTTTCTGTTAATTTATCAACTTATTACGTTATGTATTTATCTGTTTACCAAAACACCTTCAATCATGTGTCTATATGGTAAGCAGCAAGTAATATTAATTTAGACAATTTGAGAAATCCCTTACATATTCATGTATTTGTATTCATAAAAATGAGATTGTTTAACGGCTTTTTCTTACCTGTCTATCTATTTATCTATTTGGCTTCCCGTCTACTTGCTTGACTCTATGTTCCTAATGGTTAGTTACATAAAAATAATTATTTATTTCATCCAATAATGGTAGTAAGCTTTTTTTTTTAAAAAATCCAAATCATCACTCCATAATCAGAATGCCAGCTGTTGCAACTTGTTTTGTTGTGTTCCCAAAAATTGTTGTTGTTATGACTATCGCCTTTCCGTCACTATCAATATCCTTTTGCTAGTGTATATATATATATATGGCTGAGTCTGATTCTGTATTGCTATTATTAATCAATTTTCTACGCATATTGACAATTTCTTTCTTTTTCTCTCCAAATCAACATTGTTTGGTATTATCTGTCTGGTTTTCCTTCTGTTGTTGTCTGTTTCATATTATTTTTTGAATAATAGTAATAATGATAAGTTGGTCTTACTTAATGACACATGTATTATTTCTGTCTGTCTGATAACACTAGTGCATGTCTGTTCATTTATCTCGTTCAATTATCACAAAAAACTCAACTCTTGGTGGTGGTGGTAGTGGAATTACTGTACAACATACATAAAATTCTAGTAGATTATGTTTAAGTAGCTCGGTTTTTTAGTTCTAAAAAAGCAGTTCTTTAAAGGAAAAAAAGTATGACAACAATCAAGTAGTTTTCTTGTGAAAAAAATAATGCAATGTAAAGAAACATTTTACATAACTTGATTGCTTATAATTAGTTCGGCTTTATTTTAACATACTAATTATAGCTACGGAAATTGGTTTAGTAGGTGTTTTCGAGTATATCTATTATGCGAAGTTTAAATTATTTCATCAGAATCATAAACTGATCAAATTTACCCAACTATTGAAAACCTGACATCAAGGGACGGTCCTTTTGTCCTAGTGTGGGATTCCGTATCAGAACGCATCAACGACTAGGTAGTCAAATCCTGGACTTTTAACCTCGTAAGTGGAACGTTTAACCTCTGGACCATTAAGTCAAAATCCAATTAGGGTGTATAAGTCCAACTTCTATCAGTCTACGATAGTATACGACCATTCTCCATTATCTTCGGTCGATGACTTCACGCTTAACGCAGTTTAGTTTTACTGGTCAAAAGTATTGAACAAAGTTGAAAAACAGGAAATACTTACATTGGCAGCACAAGTTGCTTCTATTCATAGTCAAGTGCCCAATTCACTTCTGCTAGTCACAACCCCAAAAAAGTATTTTACATTGACAAACTAATTTATAATTAATAACTTGCAGTGAGTACATCATCTTTAGATTATTTAGTTGGCATTCAATGGTTTTTATTTCAAAATTTATTCAATTTATGATACTGACTGACCATCTTCTGATGCTACTGTTTGGTAACTTTTCCCTACTTAACATGATTTAACTCTCCTACTCACAGCATTTCACTAGAACTCCTGCAATTACATCTTGAAGGTAGTCGTTAGTGAGCCTGTGACTATAATAATAATAATAGTGATTATTAACATACAGAGTTTTTGAACATCGTTAAATTTTACAGACTACATCATGAACTGATTGTTAGTTAGCTTTTAAATGCACCCTGGTTTCAAATGTTTGTCTGATTAAAATCAATCAATGATGTAATCTATGATAATTTATTATTATAAAGACTTTCATCAGAGGTTACATGAGTCATAATAATCAGATGATGATAATTTGTTGAAAACATTGAGAAAAATGGAAATTATAATTATGTAAAACTTCCAATGAATGAAGTTAAAACTAAGTGTTCATTAAAAAAACAGCTCTGTACTACATTGCACTAAAAAAAGTTGTCTAATCATTTTAGAATATTGTCGTTTGACCTAAGATATCATTATGAATGATATTTATGGATCGGATCCCCTCTGTATGAGAAGTGTAGTCAATCATAACTGAGTCATTCATTCATCCACCACATCGGTTCATAATTGGAAGTGACCTTGAAGTTATATCGGCATAACGTGTTCAATGTTACAAAAGTCCTTGTATATGCTTTGGTTTGTTTCGCACGTATTGCTGCTCATTTATCTTGTTTGAACAATAGTTCTATTATAATTGAATCATTATTCAATTCTTCGTGTTTTTTTTCTCAGTAGATATTCTCTAAGCTTCTTATTCTGACACCCTATCAATCTGTAGTAATAATTGACTTCACATAGCCTACATGTGATCATGTTAATAAACTCAACATCTCTATTCTAGTTGTTATCTTATATATAACTATATTTTTTCTTTAATTTTTTGAAAAATACTTAAAGGTGTTGTTGCACTTGGTGAATACATTTATGCAATTGGTGGGTATGATTCTTGTAGTCAATTAAATACTATGGAACGTTATGATCCTAAACGAAATTGTTGGGAATATTGTGCATCTATGTTACATCCACGATCAGCGTTAAGTGCTTCTGTATGGGGCTCTGAAATATGGGTTTTCGGTAAGTAAATGAATGAATATTTCATATTCAAAATAATAAAATAAAAATCACGTTTTCGCTTATCCCCTTATTTATTTAAATAATTTTTTCTAATTGTCACGTCTTGCCATCATAGACAGTCAAAATTGTCTTCTGGATAACTTATATCCTATAACCCATTTATATGTTAAATAAATAAATGTAATGTCTTGTTTTCTTCGTATTGTTCACATCTACATCGTTTTGTTAGTGGGGTAAGTAGTTGGGTTCGTTTTTTGTACTGACGTAAAAAAATTGGACTTAAAGTCGAATTTCAACTCTATTAATTGTTATAAGAATAGGAATGTAAATTCTTTGTTACCTGATTTTGGCTGCTACCTAGAAAGAATGGTTGGGGTTGCCTGTCATGATGACCCAACTGAGTTATGTTGGCTGGAACGTATGTTCCTTCAGGTGGTGCCATGTCTGGCAAGTCGATTGGAGAACGGTAAGACTAAAAGTAGCTACTCAAGGCCTGAGGGCGAAGTCGTACTGCTGAATTTATAGGGGTCTGACAGCAGTTGGGTGTTTTCCTCGGACAACCAACATCTGCAGCGAGGCTACCTTCTCACAACAGAAGGAAGGGGTTAAAAAATGCCGACCCTGAAAATGCCACACTCCACCTTACCCCACGGATTTCCGTCTCTGGCAGTAAGGCCATTTGAAGAGCTGTGCTAGCACTTTAAAAACCTCCCATAAAGAAACCGTGTGTAAGCGGCCTAAAGCAGCTGTCGCTTGGGCTATGTGGTCACGTTCCAAGGTCTCTAAACACAGCGCTAACCCACTTTCATTTTTAGATTTCTCAAGAAACACCCACTGTGTGAGTAGCCAGGAAGTGACATTCATAGGCCACTAGCATTCGATCATAGGTATCTGTGAAGCATTGCTCATATATCCTGGGATCATCGAGTTAGCAATGCTAGTGTTAGCAAAAGGGTACTAGGTAGGGATGACAAATCAATTGATGAAGTATTAAAACTTCATCAGTCGAGGTGGTTGGGACATGTGTTACGAATGCCTACCTATCGGCTGCCTAAACAAGCGATGATGCCTGGTGTAGGGATACGCTGGAAGGAAGCTAGGGGCGGCCAAATCAAAATATGGCACAAATTCTTGAAGTCACTGACAAGTAAACGGAGCTGTGTTTGTAAGTGTACACTACCAAGTTCAGGCATGCGAGACAGTAGTAAAAAATGGTCAGACACCTTGAATGATATGGCTGGAAATCGTTTGCAATGGTGAAGATGTATCCATTCTTTGTCATCTCTGATAAACTCATGAGTTCATGTCGTTCTCTCTTTGCTTTTAAATTTGTTTGATTGGATTATACTTGTTGAATCATTTCACTGAACCGTAATCTTTTCCATTCACGTTACTTCGCCTTCTTCCTCTAATATGTGATTCGAATTGACAATTCGATCTTTGTGTGCTAGTGTGGTGTGGTAACTTGAACTGATATACGTACGTACGTGCGAAGTTCTATGTTGTAGCTATGTTGTTATAACTGACTGACTGAAATTCTTTTTTGAATAAAATAGGTATATCCTAAAGATTATTGTTTTCATTGATTGTCATTTAATTTTATTGTTATTTACACTTTTGTTTTAAATTCCTAGGTGGTTATGATGGAAGTGAATTTTTAGCTAGTGTTGAAGTCTACAATCCAATTAAAGATCAATGGACCGAACGAACTTTTATGGATTGTGGTAAATCGGGGCATGCAGTTGTAGTTAGTCGAGGACCATCATTTTAATCGGATATATATTTAATTTGATTGATAATATATATATATATATATATATATATATATATATATATATATATTTCCTCTTTTAAATCGAAGTAATGTACAGCAGCAATAAACAAATAGGATAGAGAAAGGATCGTTCAAAGAATGAATTATCTTCTGACTATCTATGATTTTCACCCCACTCTTCTGTTTCCATCCATCAGCGCCAAGAAATAACTATCAACTTTCCAACCCCCTCCTTCATTTTGCTTCCTATTTCTAGTCTTGATTCCATTTACTAAGTATTGTAATGATAGTAATAATAATAATAATAATAATAATAATATTAATAATTATGACAACTATAGTACTAATTGAAGTCAATTGAAAATCTTAAATATCAAGCTTAGAAACTTGGTTTCACGCAGATTTTGTCCTTTTTTTGAACATTTAAATTAATAATAGTAATAATATTAACTGTAAACGTGACTAGAAATTCCACTGTTCTCTCTCTCTCTCTCTTTCTCTATATATATATATATATGTATATATATATATATATATATATATATATATATATATATATATATATATATATATATAATATCACTGTACGAATCACAGCAAACTTAAACTGTACAATAATTCTACCTTATTTATATTCTCCCACATACATTTATTATCATTGTAAAATATGTGTGTTTGCTTTTTAAATAAAATGTTTAAAAATTTAGTATACTGTATCTATCAATAATAGTAATAATATTGCAAATTATAGTATAGATATTCCTTTTTCCCTATTCTCGCTCCTTTGTTCCCTTGTTAAAATGACATACAATTCCATGCGTTTATACATCTCAATCTGATTTCTAAAGTATATACAGGAGTTTTGATTCTTTGGTTCATGTATATAGAAATATTATACTGGGTTTTTTTGTTTTTGTTTTACTTGATTTTATTCTATTCTTCTACATTAATTGTACATTATTTGTGTTGTTTTTGTTTTTTCGTTTCTCTTTTGTCTGTGTATTTTCTTTTCTTGTTCAAATCTAACTTACTACTAGTAGTAGTATTGTGTATATGAGACTTTGAAATATGGTTTTTTTTTTCAATTATATATTCCCATTAAACTAATAAAGATTCTAGCCTTTTACTATTACTGATATTATTACTCATAAAAACGGCATCTGCTTTGTTTTTCTGTAAAAAGCAGTCATTATTTGTGACAAATATATATATATATATATATATATATATATATATATATATATATAAGAAAAAATATTTTCAGTATTTCATAGCTGTTTTCTTTATATCTTTTCAAAAAACATCCATGAAGATACATATGTTTACTTTGATTTACTTGTTTTAGATTCAGAAGCATCAACATTGATGTTCGTAATTCAACAGGTTGATTTTCCACTGTTTATGTTCATGTGATTGTATTAGTTTCAATAACAAATTAAGCTAGATATTCGGTGTAACCTAGTTCTGCATTAAATGAACTCAGATTTTAGAGATTTCAGAAAATATTTTTAACGTGGATCAAATGTGGTTTGTCAGGTTAATTAGTTTGCATCATTTTTTTCCAATTACGGTTGCCTTCTCATTGGTTAAGATCCATTCATGATACTTGGTTAGCGTCTATACGATTATCGTAACCAGGGTGTGGAGACAGTGATATTATTCAAAAATTATTCGAATACGCACTTTCAATTAGCCTTCATTATTTCTCAAATCAACTCCCAAGACAAAGTAGGTTGGTCGGCGGCCTATGCTACGTTGGGGGTGACAGGCATTAGTAAAGTAAGTATATTTCTCAAGTCAAACTATGCCTAATTTTACTAGCGTGCTCAACGAAGAACTTTTAAAGATGTGAAAAGTTTCACATTCTTGGACAGCTTCTACGATAAACAAGGTGGATCTGATGCAGATCTAAAGACACTCATTAGTTAAGCAAAGACAATATATCTACAATTGAAAAACACCTGGAACACAAACAAAACCAGAATCACAATGCAGACGTCAAGACAGTTCCATTGTACAGAAAGAAAGCCATCATCTAAGACATACAAATGTTTGTTGTCTACGCAAGGTACTCCGAATCCATTGCCCGGACATCATCGGCAACAACCACTTAGGAGGGGGAACAAACCAGAATCCGTCTGGGGAAAAAATCAAGAAAATGCATTAAGGGTGGATAGGACACGCATGGAGGAAGTTGCCCAACTATATCACGAGGCAAGCCCTTACGTGCGATCCTCAAGATCAAGGGAAAAGAGGAAGACCACAAAACCCATTGGGTCGGAAAGTGGAGTTAGGCATCAGAGAACGAATAGAGCTTGGGAACAACTGTAAGTAGTGCCTGACTGACTGGTGAACAACCTATGCCTCACGAGAGACAATAAGTGTTTGGAAATTAACTTGCTTGATAATTTTATTTATTACGACACTGAAATAGTCAGACAAACAAATGGAATAGATAACTGTTAAAGTTGGCGATGTTTGAATAATCGTAAAAAGTGTCCAACAATTGACCGAATTCCATGTGCCATTGACAAGAAATAAAATTTACATTCTGAAAGACATTCACGTTTCAAAACATCAATTTACATTCGCCAACAAGTGTTTTTATCTACAAACCTCAAATCTCAATCGACTAACGAAATCAAATGTAAATTCATTGTTGATCATAACTGTAAACAATATAATTCCCGATTTCAACACAATGGTCAGACACTATACACATTTGTACTTTCAGCTCTATGAAATTGATATTACTAAAGCTGAAAATTGTGTCTGTTTCAATAATCGACTTTTGTGCATTTGCATAGATCGTTAGTAGGAAAATCTATTCATCAGTCAGTTTGTAACACTCTTCAAATGAACATTTGTAAGACATGTCATTTTCCTGTTGTTGATGTTAAGATCTGTAGTTGTTTAGTCTTCTTTAGGAAATTAGTATCTTCTGAGAATCCTTTGAATATTATCATTAAGTTAATAGTTTTTACTAAAGTCAGGTAGTAACTACTGACATTGGAATCCAGAGATCTTACTTAATGATATTTGTGATTTGATAGTCACATATAGTTTGTTACTAGTTTTACTCTCTGCAATAAGACTCAAATCAAGTACTTGTCTCATTTTACACTAACACATTACCCAATTAGCTACTGAATTCAGATATCTACTAGCTAATAAAGTGGTTATGAACCTAATTTAGAAGGATCTGTAGTTTTGCTGCCGTCCATACTAAGGACTATAATTGACCAGTTTCTTACAATGAACACACCACTAGTCGTCTAGACTCAGTGAATCGTACTTTGGCCTTTGAATTAACAGATACGGAGCTTGAATCTTAATACGAACATTAAAATGGGATTCCAGTGAAATTAACTGACTTGCTCTAAGTACTACGAAACAGGAGTCTTTGATTCCACTGCCATCCACTATACTACTTTTATAAAAGTTCTTTAACCGTCATTATTACTCTCGTCGAATTAATGATTAGGACAAAATAAATTGTTTTCATTGTTATCATTTTCGTTGTTATTGTTGTTACAAGAATGTGTTTATCAATTTAGTATACATTTGTTGAACCATTCGTATAAAATTAATTCTTAGAGAAAAAGTCTTAATTTGTTGTAAAAACAAATGTGGTTAGAATTTGTGTGACCTAATTTGTCTAGACTGAAAGGTGTGTGTGAATTCGAGTGTTTTGTCTAAGAAAATTACATAGCTTTGATTTTCTCTCTCCCATAGTTAGGCTGAAATACAAAATACACCATACAATACCTACTTTTTTTGTAAGCCATTATTATTGCTCACTATTTGCTATGAAATTTTTTTTTTTTTAGTTGATCATTAACTGATAATGCTAATAGTAGTTTTCAGTCGAGTGTTGAATAAAACTACCATATTTGGTGGTATTATTATAAATTTATCAATGAATCTGTGCACATTTAGAGGTTATGAACTTCAAGAAATCGCTTAAATGACTAAATTATACTGTGGACACATCACTTTGGATGATGGAATTTGTAACTAAAGATTGTAGATATCGTTCTGAACTAAATAATTTACAAAGGTAGTTAATAATCCAATTTTCACGGCAGCAATAAAGAATTCATCCAAAACTACACACATATAATTAGTAGAAAGAGTAGAATTAGGCATGAAACAGCTTTAAAATACCGATGTAGCCAGTATAAGCTTAAGATTTACATATTTGTGAAACCACCAATCAATTGAGATCATACGGATTATTGATGTATTCGTCAGATATAGTTATTTCTAACTTTGAGTCTTTAATACCAACAATTTGAATGAGTTTTAAAACGTCACATGTAATCAGACACTCCAGCTATTCTGTCTAATGTTATATCTTTTCTAACCCTTATATTTATAACTGTCATAGTTCATTTAAATGGCGTTGCTTTGTTTTCAAGAAAAGACAAACTTTTCATAACGAACTTCGATAACACCTTAGCACACCCTCTTCTTCAACAACAATAAATATGTCCATCTAACATAATCTCTCATTTTCAAATCAATTATCCTAAAAAAAGGATTCAAAAATCCAATATTTCTTGATCAGTATGTGATTTACCATAGTCGAATTCAATTGTCAACTGCACAACAAACACAACGATGTTTGAAATGTTGAGTGTTATGTTTGAAATGATCAACAACGAGTGATGAGGCACAATTAACCTAAGAATTAATGACTATTTTGACAGACTCTTCTTGACATTCAGTTGAGGTCGATTGTGGTGGTGTTTCGTCCTCTGAGCTCAGAGGACGAAACACCACCACAATCATCCACCTGAGCTACAAGTTTTCTCCACCATCTCAGTTGAGGTCGAGTTCTGCATATTTCGTTTCCGGTTGTTTATACTACTTAAGGTGATGAATTGAAATGCCAATCATTTGGAATTTATTCACAATGTGTAGTTTTTAGATTTGTACCAACTACTATTTACTTGATAGTTGAATAATGTGGAAATATTTGAATATCTTTTTTGTCTGAAACTCACTTACACTAGATATGGCTTTATGTAATTAGCAATAAGCTACATTGTTTGAATAGTATGTTTTAGTTATATTACATGGATATGTCGTTAAGGTTCACAGTTGGGGTTTAAATGGTTATTTACTGTAAAATAAATTGGAATTATGTTAAATTGAATGAATAATTCTTAAAGTAAATTTTAAAGTTTCTGCTATTTTTAATGTATCACACTGTTACATCACTAACTAATAATCAGAAAGTGTGTTTTTTTACCTAATTTATTACTTACTTACTTACACCTGTTACCCCCAATGGAGCATAGGCCGCCCACCAGTTTTATCCAACCAACTCTGTTCTGGGCTTCCTTCTCCAGTTCTGTCCAATGTTTGTTCATTCCTCTCATATCTTTCTCTATTTCTTGGCGTAGTGTGTTCCTTGGCCTTCCTCTTTTCCTTTTGCATTGAGGGTTCCATGTGAGTGCTTGTCTCGTGACGCAGTTAGGTGCTTTTCG